GCAAGGTGCTAGTGAACATATATAGAGGGGTGTAGTCTTGGCTAGACCGATTGTTTTAATTCCGCATTTATATCGGTTAGCCGACGTGAATAATTTTAAAAAGACTATTCACCCCCCCTCTAGTCCGCCATCTCGACCCTTCATCGGTGATATCCGGTCACTTACATTATAGGTGATTACTAGAAGAATTTAGCTATGGAAAGAATGATATCCTGGAATTAACCATGTGTGATGGATAATTGGAGACCGGACGAAAAAAGTTGGAGGCAACCAGACATGGTTCTGGGGTGCTGTTAGTTTCCGTCTGTGTCGATTAAGGACCGATCGTTACTCGTCCCTCTTGTCATGTTGAATGCATGCCTCACATTTAGCTGGCCGAATGAAGTACCTTTCGACCGTGAAGCTAGTGGCACCTTTCAGGCCGGGATCTACACGAGTGCGCGTATTGGTGCTGATGGGGGTATGATAGGGGCGCGAAGAGTGAGCCCAAGGGCAGGTGCGACTTGATTCCTGGCAGTCGGGCGATCTCTGGGTACTGCGGCTCTAGATTGTCCCGCGGCTACCTGAAAAGTGTCATTGGTGATCTGTAGCTCACTTGATCGGTGAGTGTGGTTTGTGTGAGGAATAAATCACCAGCTGGTTAGGAATCGATTCGAATCACCATCGCTCCTGAATAATGAGCACTTGACTCGAGCTACGGCATCGTAGTAATTATTATGGAACAATGATGGTTATCTGGATGGTATGGACATGCTAAAGCTAAATTGGTAACTGGATGTTATTGGTTAATCAAGTGATTGCTATAGTACAGGTGCTTACCTAGATGAATAGGTTATAATAAAGATGATGCAAAGTATTTAAAATGATGTCTTCATGATAGCTTATACTTTTTGCAAACAAGTCAGCTAGCCCACTCAAGAAAGCCTTGCATAATCCTTGGTGTCGCTTTATTTTGGTTTAAGACGGGTAAGTCTAGCTGAGTACCTTCTCGTACTCAGGGCGTTGTTCCCATTGTTGTTGCAGATGGTCAAATGTACTACGGCTATTGCATTAACTGTCTGTACCCGGCGACGGGCGACAACTAGGACCAAGGGCAATGGTCACTCCGTATCTCTCATCTGATGCTTTTATTGGAGATGACTACCTACTGGCATTGTATCTGAACTAAAAGTGTGTGTGGCTTTAAAACTATTTGCTTCCGCTACTTCAGTTTGAACTTGGGTTGTAATAAATTTAGGTTCTAAACTCTGATGTACCGAACTGTGATTGCGAACTTTATGTAACGTGTGACGGTACTTGCTAAACTTGTATGATCTTGGTTTGTATGTCGATTGGTTTGAAATCCTTCGTGGTTTCACGGACTACCGGGTTATACGGGCTTAAGTTTGCTAAATTATCTGCTTCGGCGGAAGATTTTCTTACTTAATCTCGTAAAATTGGTCGGTTCTGTTACATGGCCCCTGCCCTCTAGACTCGTGAAGTCGAAACGCTGCTTCGTTGGATAGCCTTGATAATTGTGTCGCCTGGGTACAGAAACGTGGTTGGACAGTTTTAGTACACATACTTAATACCAAATGGATAACAAATTGTACCATTCGAGTATCTTACCACGTATCTTTGAAGCGGGGCTCTCTGTAGTTGTGTGTCGTCCCTAGTGGCAACGTCATACATATCTTCGATCACATCTTCCTTGTCGTCCTCGTCAATCGCCTCCTCAGTTTACGGGGGCTTGATATGTGTCCTCATAGACCTGTGAAGCCACCGTAGGTACTCGTCAAAGGTGTGCTGGTCGTGTGGGGGACCCACATCAACCGGTTGCCGATCCCTGGTCTGCCACAACTGGATATACGCGTTGTGTGTCACACGCGAATCCTTGGTCTTGTACCTCTTCCTGCGGTCATACTTGCAACAAAACGATTGTTAGTTGTACCATACACACCTCTGAATTGTAGCTTTGTTATTAATCGATAACGCACCCATTCAATTCTTGGTTGGTGGAGTAAAGCGGTGGTGGGTAGCCTGTCATTCTTCCAAACTGCCTGCAAACCCTAATGGGCAAGTGAATCTCGACCACATGGAAGAAAATAAGAGGGACGTTGCAGTGATACTCGTCTGACTCATCCCTAGTGACAGGACTCAGATAGTCCTGGAGCTCCGGAGCATCCCAAGGACACCAATGCACCTGACCATTTTGTAATTGAGTTAGGTTGTGATATAGTGTATATCGAACAAGACACATGTATGATAGTAAAGAGAGCGTAACCTGGTACTGTGTCAGGACGTCGAGACAGTCCGTGTACTTCTTGTACTTGCGCCTCGCATTCCCTCTAACTAACTCTGCTTGCGTCCAGATATACAGAGTTGTAGGGAGTGTATCCTGCCCGTTCCAATACTGTATTGAACACGATAATGAATTACCATTAATAATTTCATCATATATAACTAACTCGTAGAATATAGTGAATCGAAGTACTTACAGGGAAACCAGTAACAAGGGGCCTTCCAACGGGCCATCGTTCCCAACACCAAACCTGAAGTAGGTAGGAGCAACCCCTAAGGTTCGCATATACTGAGGTGCGACGGTAGGCAACGCATAGCTGTCGATACGTCCATGCTAGGACTGCGCTGCCCCAGCTGTACGCCGCTATGTTATCCCATAGCTGGCGTAGTATGTCAAGAAAAGATCCAGCTGATGGTGTTGCCTGAGGCGTCTGAAAATAAGAAAGCACCAAGGAAGTGCCAGAGCCACACTCTAGCGAACCTATCGATCTGAGCCTCATCAGTCTGTGGGTCCAAGTAATCAAAGCGCTCTGTGATCCACGAGGACAAAACACCGAAACTTTTCCTAAAATTTACCGAAGAAAATGAGACCCGATGGCTGCAGGAAAGTAATGCAAGTATTAAATAGGCTTGAATTACTCACTTATTTTTCTTGGAAACCTCGTCGTCCGATGGAAGAAAGCCAGCGAACTGAGCCACCAGCTCCCTCCAGTGATCGTTGTCAACTATACCTGTCACTGGAAGTCCCCCAACTGGTGGCCAAAGATAGCCTTCACGTCCTGCATGGTCAAGGTCATCTCGCCGCAAGGTAGATGGAACGTGTGGGTCTCAGGCCTCTACCTATTATAAGAATAGAACGACTGTTAGTTACCTTCAAATTTGTTATAAGAATGTTTACGTAAAATGAAGGCACTCGCACCTATTTACAGCTGCAGTAAGTAGTGCTGGGTCAAGGGGCGGAAGACCGTAGTTGACAACACGAACAAGCTCGAGGAAGCCGGCACGCCGTATGTACAACGCGTAACGCTCGTCCCACTGGTGCGTCTTACTGATCTTAGGGTTGGGGATTGGTACCAGATTTGGGTAATTTGCATTCTTAGGGTTCGGATTTGGGAAAAAACTGGGGCTTAGTGTTGAAGTTGATTCGACTCCCCTCCTTCTCGGTGCTTAAGCGAAACCCTATATTCTGATTTGGCTTAAAGAACTTTGAATCGGACAAATCCGATGCTATTTAGATCTTAACCAAACACTAATTAAGTCTTAGGGTTCAAGAATTAGGCTAAACGGCTTCTCGGATACCAATTGTTAGAACTTATACTTAGACAAGATCTTAATTAACCTAATTACAGGAACGCCTAAACCGAAATTAGCACTTAATTAGGACTTTAATCAATCTTACTCGCTGCCGACATGCGTCGTCGTCGTGGTCGTGGGGACGTCATCGTGGTGGTGGCGTGCGGGCGCGGCGGGTGCAGCGGGCGGCCGGCGGCCGTGGCGCGCCGACGTGCGTGGCGCGGCCGGCTGCAGGCGTGCGGCGCGGCGGCCGGCGACAGGTGCGGTGGGCAGGCGCGGCGGGCAGGCAAATAGAGGGAGGGCGGCGGCTCACGGGCGATATTTACCTAGGGCTGTCGTGCCACGATCGGTGGCGCGGCAGACCCTGCCACGTCACCGGCCAGCGCCCTGGTCGTCGCCACGTCATTCCCTCACCGCGCCACCATGCGTGCTATAGAAATAGGCGTGGGCAAAAGTGTTAGTTTTAGAAGAAAAAAAAAACAACGTTAGATTTAAAATTAATTTAAAAAAGTGTTAAAAATAAAAAAATCCCCCAGCGCCATGCAATGCAAGGCTGCACCATGCCATGCTGGTCCGGAAAGCAACGTGGCGAGCCTCGAGAGATAGGCTACTGTATATTTCTGCGAGGTCCGTACTGCTCCTGTAGCTGTAGCCTGGATAGACTTCAACGAACAGGAACAGGGGATGGGACAAAAAGAATCGCAAAAAAATAAAGATTGAACAAAAAGAAGCGGAGTATAAACGAACCTCCCGGGGACGTCACGTTGCACGCCGCCATATAAAATTCGTGCACCCCTTCAAATAAAATTGCAACACCTCACCTGACCTGCAAATCATCAAGCAACTGCTACTCCCATGCCTTTAGATTGTAAGTTTTTTTACTGTCTCTTCATATCAAATCTTTGAACACATGGAGTATTAAATGTAAATAAAAAAATAACTAATTATATAGTTTGATTGTAAATTACGAGACGAATCTTTTGAGCCTAGTTAAACCATGATTGGACAATAATTATTAAATACAAACAAAAAGTGTTACAGTACTAAATATCAATTCCTAACTCCAATCTAAACAAGTCCCTGCTACCTCTGTGCTAATAATGCCACCGCTGCCGTTCAATCTCGTCAGCATCTGGATTTATTTATTTATTTTATTTTTATTTTTCGGTTGTCTTTTTCGAGCGAATCATGCCCCTTCGGAGAAGCAGGATCAGCGAGGGTCGCTGTCTGGCAGGGCCCGCGGGCCGATCGATGCCCCCACGACCATTCCCCTCGATCGCTGCCTCCACCCGCTCCAATTTGAAAAACCGCTCTCCTCGCCTTTCCTCCCTCCCGGAGAACCGAACCTCACTGGTCTCTCTGCCTCTGCTCTGGCCTTTGGGGTCTCGCGCTCGCGACTCCTCGGGCGGCGCGCCTCGCCACTCGCCATGGCCTCCTCTTCTTCCTCTTCCGAGGTGAGGGCCGCGAGCAGGAGGATCGTCGATTACCTCAACGACGGCGAGGAGCTCGGGGCCGAGAGGGCGGCGGTGGAGACGCCGCCGTGCTCCCCTGCGGCGGCGACTGCGACTGCGGTTGCGGTTGCGGTGGGGGAACCCGCGAGGTCGTTGGCGCTGCCCAGGTTCAGGTGGCCGCGGCTAGTCAGGCGCAGGCTCCGGAGGAAGGGAGGCGGCGACAAGGGGAAGGAGGAGGTCGTGGTGGAGAAGGGCGACGACCTCCCCGTGGCGCCGGCCGTGTCGACCTCAGGTGCGTGTTGCGTGACCTCAGGGTGTCAGAAGGTGCGATTGTTTAGCGAAATCTTAGTTAGACATTGGGCGGCAAATAGAACCGAGCCTGTTGTTTGTTTGAGCTTTGAAGAGCATGCGATGCTTTGGCAAGGATTCTGCTGTAAAATCCACAAACAAACAAGTGTGTGTCTTGTCAGAATTTAGCAGAGAGTGCCCCCCCCTCCACCGAGAGATCAGCAGATTTTCTTGTTCTGCTCTGCATGTACTTGGCTTTTATTCTATAGTCGAGATGAACATGAGCGTAATCAACCAAGCCTCTGTCTGGCCTCTGCTCTGTACTACTTCCAGGATGCGAATCATCAGCGGGGAGCGACAAGAGGCATTCCGACCTCGGCGTCGGGCTAAGCCTGGTGTTCCTCCTGGCGAAGACATCCGACGAGTTCAACAAGATGGTCAAGGTGCGCGCGGAGATGGAGGCGCTCCTGAAAGAGATCAGAGACGAGGTTCGGATCCAGAGCGGCGGCGGCGGCACCGGCACCGACGGCCACGACGACGCGTCGAAAGACCGCAACCGCGAGTCCACCACGTCGAGCTGCGTCACTACCGACGGCAACGAGGTCCAGAGCGCTCGCGCTCGCATGGAGTACCAGGCCGCCTCGTCTGGCGTGGAGCTCGCGGGCTACGAGAAGTCGTTGTCGTCCGGGGATGGTGCAGGTTGCTGTGCGAGAATGGACGTGCTTGAAGAGGAGTTCCACGCCGAGATGGAGCTGCTTCAGGTTAACTACGGCTCAGAGACACCGTCATTTCTGCCTGACCCTGAAGAAGAAGAGGAACACTATTCCGAGGTACCATGGTCCTCTGATCTTGCATTCATTCCGACTTGACTGAAAATGCGAAATGTCCCTGATTTGGGCCAACATTTGACATTTCAGCCGTACGACGAGATGGCCGACTACCGGAATGGAATTGATGACGATTCAGGGGCAGTTGTTGAGGAGGACGAAGACGACGATAATGATCATGATGATAACGCTGAGTACAACGGAGTTTCTGCCGTACAGCTGGAGAGAAGGCTCCACGAGCTTCTCCATGAAAGAAACCGGGACCGGATTGAGGAGCTGGATGCCGCGCTGCGGCGTGCGGAGCAGAAGCTCGTTGAGAAGGAAATGGAGGTGTCCTTGTGGAAGGACACGGCTAAGTTTGCGTTGAGACAGGACAAGGAGTTGCAGTGAGCATCAAAGTTCTCCCGCTCTCTTTCAGTCGTACAACTCTTGCGCACCATTCGTCAGCTGTACATGGTCACAGCCGAAGGAGAATTTTGGGCAAACAAGGTTTGCCATGGCGAACTGCAGAATGGATCTCTGTGGAAGATATAGTGAACCTGTTCATACCAAAGTTTAGTGCTAGCATAGTAGATCTCCAGAGAACGTTTTGGGTTCCGGTAAAATCAGTACTAGAATACTGTGTAAGTTAGCCTCACTGGTGTACGGATCCATATGAGGAGGCCTCGTTCGTTTCTCTTGTAATCCGTCTTTTTCAGCTCGTTTTTTTTCAGTCGGAACAGTGTTTTTCTTTCACAACAAATCAGCCGGAACAGTGTTTCGGCTTATTTTTTCAGCGAAGCGAACGGGACCTTACTGCATGTTTCTGCATGCGCATGACACTTCGCTAAAAAGCCAGGCCGATAAGTTCAAGCGAACATAAGTCTGACTTCTCATGTGTGTGTTTTAAAAATTGTGCACAAATGTAAACACTTCTAGCCTAATAACCCACCTGAATAGGCATGATTTAACACTGTAACTATGGCATTTATTATACCTAAATAGGCAAGATTTAACTGCATCAATGTGATTCAGGCTCCTGATTAAGGGGGGACATGCTCCCTTTTCTACCCTACTGAAATTGTTGAAAGAATCAATTCCTTACATTTGTGAAGCCAGATTTTCAAATTTTGGCTGTGCTTATTACAACCTGTATTTTTTTAGTTCAACATTACATATTTTGTCCTTGAGGTTATGACATATATTAGAATGTATCCTAGAAAAAAAATATAAAAAGTACTTTTAATACTATATACCTACACATATTTCTTTTATGTTTCCAAAACTCACAACAAGTTGACTAAATAAAGTTAGTAAATTAACGCCGAGCTGGAACGGCAACGTAGCCTGGCTCCTGAATCATCCAACAAAGGCGTCATCGTTGTCATTAGCCCACCATTGTCCTCTGCTAGTTCCATGGCTGAATAAACTGCTTCGACCAGGTATAGCCTATGCGCGATAAAAAAAAAGGTATAGCCTACTATGCGCACATTATGATTGAATATTGATGAACTGATACAACATTAATTTGGCTAGAAGTGTACAAGGATTTTGTTTCCTTCCGGTTATAATACATGAGCATATTTGCTAGTTACTAGACATTAAGGGCATCTAAATACGAATATGAAAGCGAAGTGTAGCTTAGTTATTATTTAGATAAAGATATGCCGTCTTTCATAAGTGTGTATGCGTGCAAGCGTTTTCATTTTGAAGAATACATACGAATTTAAATAAAGTTAATAAAATCGTGAGTTTTAATTGGGCCCAGTGTAGGGGCTCTAGTAAGCTCGTTACTTTGGGCCGAGATAAGGTCCACAGGCCGACAGGTGATCTGTGCCGTGCTGGGCCACATTGTGGAGAAGCCCTTAGTTTAAGGTAACCTGAAACGTTAATTTTTTTTTACGAGAATGGATAGAATCACTGCCAAACAGATTAGTTGAGAAATGTTTCACTCGAGAGTCACTAGAAATATTTCAAAATTTTATGCCTAGCAAGGAGAAAGAATGTTAGTTGGTTTTGCATCTTTTAAAGAACGAATCTAGCACCAAACTCTCTTGCGCCTCAGGTAGCCACGTGGCCTCTTTTCTGGGGCGTTGGATTTTGATTAAGCCGTTCAAAACTGGACGTAGCTTCCAGCGTTTCAAGATCCGTCTCTAGCGCTGTATGTTGCGCCCGCAGCATGGTACGTCTCGCGAGTATGGATGAAAACGGTACGGATATTTATTCGACCGTCCGTTCGACCGAACAAATATGAACACTTATCTGGATAGTTACTCGGATATCCGTTTTTTTTTCCGGATACGGATACTAAAACGGATATCTTAGGCGGATATCAAATACGGATGTAATATCATCGATATCCGGCGGATATCGGATAATCCGGATAAGTATCGGATATATCCGGATATTTAAAAACGGATATTATCCGGATATTTATTCAAAATTTAAAAATCACAAATTTGAACCGTCCAAACTATCTCAAATGGAAAGTTGACCAAAACAAAAATTGTAGATCTTGATGAGTTGAACAAACTTGGTATTCAAAACTTTTCAATTTGAAGTCATTTAGAGTTCATAATACTAGAGTCAAAGTGTTGTTTTTTCATTTGACCAAATTTGACTTGGTCAAACTTGCTCAAATGAGACACTAAATGACCTCAGATGAAAAAACTCTGAATACCAAGTTTGATCATCTCAGCAAGATATACAATTGTTACATAGCTCATTTTCCCATTTGAGAAAGTTTTATCAAACACTAGTCACAAATTCTTAAATCTCATACAGACTTTCTAAAACTATGTCACACACTTGTGAAATTTGAACTACATTTTGTTCAAACTTTCTCAAAATAAAAAAATGGCCTATATAAGGATTGTAGATCTTGAATCCATGACCATGACTCCATGAGACCCATGAAGCAATGTGCTTGGCTATTTCTACTCATGCCGCGAAGATTGGTGCTTATATGATGTTTGATGTATGATGTATCTGTATCTTTATCTTATTTGTTGCTTTACTCTTTAGTCTTTCGGCTTAATCTAGATGGATTATGGACTCATAGAGTGGTGTAATGGTTTGCGCACGTATGATATATATATGCTGCTTTTACTCAATATCCGAATAGATATCTGTATCCGACCTTCTCCGAATCCGATTCATACCGTATTCGATACTCATTATTCGTATCCGTAACCGAGTCAATCCGTATTCGTATATGTATCCGAACGCTATCCGTGTTCGAATCCGAATCCGAACAGAAATATGAAAACAAATATAATATGAGTGATATCCGTTCGTATCCGATCCGTTTTCATCCCTACTCGCGAGTCGTGACCGCTGCCTCGGTCGGCCCGTTACCGCCTCCCTGCCTCTCAGCAGTAGTAGATCGTTGTTGCTTCAGCCGCTTCCGTTTAAGAGCAACTCCAGCAGAGCCCCTACTTAAGCTCCTATCCTATTTTTGAGGGCTGAGACAAGAAAAACTCACTTCAGAGGGCTCCTCCTCTAGTTCTCAAAAGTAGGAGGCCCTCAGATCTCACCCCCAAGACCCTCAATCTGGGGGCTGTGGAGGGAGCCCCTGCTCGATGGCTTCTACAGTTGGCTCGCGCGTCGCTCCACATCCACTTCTCTGCATGGCCTCTGCTACCCGCCGTGGCCACCTCCTTCCCTCACTGCTCCTGTGGCGCCGTTCCTCTCTCCCACGGAGAAGAAGTCGCAGCCGCCTCGTTGCTCCTCTCTCCCATGGAAAAGACGACGTGAATGGCCGCCGGAGAAGGATCCACTCCTCCCTCCCATCGAGAAGAAGACGCGAACGATCGCCTCGTCGCTTCTCTCTTCCTCGTCGATCCTCCCTCCAATCAAGAAGAAGCCATGGGCGGCCGCTAGAGGAGCCTCGCGCGATCTCCGCGTGAGCATAGCTCAGATTTGGATCCTATCGCAGCGTCCGGCCTCCTAGCTCCTTCTGTGCCTCGGTGAGGTCGCTCCGCCGGCCACGGCGCCCCGACGAGGTTGCTCTGCCGGGCAACAACTCCCGGCGGTCCCCTTCGGAACCCCGTCGAGGCCGCGATGAGCGGTCCTTGCTCCTCCCCTCCCTTGCGTGAGATAGCTTACATAGAAAGAGCAATGAGAATGACTTGTGGGTCCTAGTGGTCAGTGACTAAGAAAAGGATTTGAGGGCTGTTTTAAGGGCTATTGTTGGAGTAGAGGTAAAAAATCAGATCTTAAAAATGAGAGAAAGCCTTCAAATAAAAAATAGGGACCCTAATTTGAGAGCCAGTGCTGGAGTTGCTCTAAGGCTGGATGTGTGGATCCCACATTCCCACTCCGTGACAATTCCTACCAGAATATCTACAAGATACTCGGTGCATGCCTGCTCTCTCTCCGTTCATGCTCCTCGCGCTAGGCTCAGCTGCGTATGCGCCTGACGGAAGAGCGGATGGAACGCAGTCAAGAAAAATGAACAGCAGTTCCTAAAAAAAGAGAAAAGAAAAATAGAACACTTGTGCATAAAAGAAATTTTCTAAAATCATAGAAAATAATGGTACATCTTAAAATTCTAAAACTTTGTTATGTATCTTTGCTATGTGCCGCTATCCAATCCAAAATTATACAAACCAACGATATAGTATCTGTGTTTAATTAATTCGTATAAAACAAATTATAGAAAAAAACATCTCAGTTTGAGGAAAAGCTATGTAATATGCTTGTTCTCTTGATTCAAGAAATCCTACGTAATCTTTAAGTTGGTAGCTCTCATTGTTCAGTCATGTAGAAGCAAATGTTTCAGCGGTGGTTGTGCACTATATTAAGTTAAATCTTCATTTACTCCCTCTAACTACATACCTACTAGATGAGCAGTTGTCAATGTAAATATCTGGAAGTTGATTTATTTTGGACACGGGGAGTATTATAAAATGCTTATATAATCAGATGTTCACTACATACCAAATTCTCAAGACTTCAAATAATTAACAATCAAGCTGCAATACGCATAATTTACATATCCAATTACAAACTTGAAGAACAACAATGGTTACTCAGAGATGGTGCGCGGCAATGCCGCACCCAAGATTTCTAGTAATTCTGATTCTTGCCCCGTTCTGTATTAGCAACCATAGTTTTTTTAGTTAGTTTTTGAAAGTAAAATAAGTTAAAATAGGTAGTATTTAAGTTAGTTGTTCTTCGCCCACAAAGAGTTCTGTTTTTTTAAATATTTTTATTTATATAATTTTTTAATATTATTTGAATCAAATTTAGCCTACTAGCCAAATATTTTCACGAAGTGATTTTGATTCATCACCAGAAATGTTTCTTGTGAGAATCTGGATCTAAAGTGTTTCTACGATAATCTAAATCCCTACCAAACACATGCTGATCATATATTTAAATAAATATGACTAATGCCTTTCCACAGAGGGAACATTAACTGGTGTCTTGCTATCGTCGTGCAAATCAGATACAAACTAACCCATATATATGTGGACCACATTTAAATAAAACAAAATAGAATGACTAATGCCTTTCCACAGAGGGAACATTAACTAGTGTCCTGCTGCCTCAAAGGTGACATGTAGGCACTGATACGTCGTTCTGATGATGTAGACGTACAATAATTCGACCCAGTTCAGACGGCAGAGGATGATGATGAACGGCTGATCAGCTCTCAGTCTATATTACTGTTACTATGATCTTCACCCTTGACAAGATCTTCTTCCTGGTGTTCGTTTGTTTCTGTCATCCCAAAAGAATATTAGAGCATAAGTACATCGACCGCAAAAGAATATGGCATCCCAACATGCTGTATTGATCATCTTCCTGTTCTTCTTAGTTTGTTCCTGCCAATCCCTCGATGATCGCCTAACCTCACTAAGACCACTCTACCCCGCCGACAAGCTCATCTCCGACGACGGTGGCATGTTTGCCCTTGGCTTTTTCAACCTCACCACCAACTCAACCCCAAGCCTGTACCTCGGCATATGGTACAACAACATCCCCGAGCGCACCTACGTTTGGGTCGCCAACCGCGACAGCCCAATCACCACGCCTTCAGCAAAGCTAGCTCTCACTAACACTTCCGACCTGGTGCTGTCCGACTCCGAAGGCCGCATAGTCTGGGCGACAGACAACAATGTCTCCGGCATCAGCACCGGAGGTTCCGGAGTGCTCCGGAGCACGGGGAGCTTCGAGCTCGAGCTGCAGCTGCCCAATGGCACAGGCGTAGTAGTATGGAAGAGCCTCGATCACCCCACGGACACCATCCTCCCGACCTTCAGGCTGTGGACCAACTACAAGGCTCACACCGCCATGCGCGTCGTCGCCTGGAAGGGGCCTCGGGACCCTTCCGCCGGCGACTTCTCCCTCAGCGGCGACCCTACCAGCTGGGGCCTCCAGATCATCATCTGGCGGGGTACACGCCGCACGTGGCGCAGCGGCGTGTGGAACGGCGCGGGGGCCTCCGCCATCACCAGGTTCATATACTCCCAGATCGTCGACGACGGGGAGGTGATCTACGCGGCGTACAACGCCGCCGGCGGACCGACGACGCACTGGAAGCTGGACTACACGGGGAACGTGAGGCTCCGCGTCTGGAACGTCGAGTCGTCGTCGTGGACCGTCCTTTTCGAGGGCCCCGGCAATGGCGGCTGCCTCCACTACGGCGCGTGCGGGCCGTTCGGCTACTGCGACGCCACGGGGCGCGAGGGCGGCGTGCAGGAGTGCAAGTGCCTCGACGGGTTCGAGCCGGAAGACGGCTTCTTCCGTGACTTCTCCAGAGGATGCCGGAGGAAGCAAGCGCTGGCGTGCGGCGGTGCTGGCGCCGGTGCCGGCGGTGGGAGGAGCCATTATTTCCTGACCTTGCCGGGGATGAAGGTGCCTGACAAGTTCCTGTATGTCAGGAACAGAAGCTTTGAAGAGTGCGCTGCAGAGTGCGACCGCAACTGCTCGTGCACCGCGTACGCTTATGCCAACTTGAGCACCATCGTCACCATGAGTGCTAGCAGTGACATGTCAAGGTGCTTGCTTTGGATGGGGGAGCTTCTCGACACCGGAAAGGACGGCGATTTAGGTGAAAACTTGTACCTTCGGCTCGCCGCCGGCTCTCCCGGTAAGTGCCTTCAAATTACACACAACACCCAACTCCACCTTCACATGATGTATTGATGTGTTATTCTAAAGGAAACAACAAGAAGAAGATCGGCATGGCTATGGAGATTGTGCTCCCAACGACGGCATGTCTGCTGATGCTCACATGTATATATCTTGCCACTATATGCAAGTCAAGAGGTACACCAAGAGACAAATAAATACCTACCTGTGCATGTAGTATGTAAGTGTTCAATGAATTGTCGACACGTTTCTACCAGGCACGCGACGGAACAAGGAAGCACATGAGAGGAGCGTTCACGATTTCTGGGATCAAAATCTGGAACTGTCGTGTATTAGCTTCGAGGACCTCACATCTGCAACGAATGGTTTCCATGAAGCCAACATGCTTGGAAAAGGTGGCTTTGGGAAAGTATATAAGGTGGTATACGATTTTAATTTGTCAATTATGTCTTATATTTCATCAACTCGACAACGCTGATATATATCATATCACACAGGGGATACTGAAAGATGGCAAGGAAGTTGCTGTTAAAAGGCTTACCAACGGTTCCGAGCAAGGGAAAGAGCAGCTTAGAAATGAAGTAGTTCTTATTGCAAGTTTGCAGCACAAGAACCTAGTCAGGCTTCTTGGTTGTTGCCTCCATGAAGATGAGAAGTTGCTCATATACGAATACTTGCCCAACAAAAGCTTAGACAAATTCCTCTTTGGTATGTTCTATCACACATTCTAAGGAAAAAAAACTGCATTGAATTGGCTAAGAAACACTCCTGAATGGTTTAACAGTTTTCCTCATTCTAAGGAAAAAACTGCATTGAATTGGCTAAGAAACACTCCTGAATGGTTTAACAGTTTTCCTCATTCCTTAATTTCCATGTTCATGGCAGATCCTGCAATGAAGTCTATGCTTGATTGGCCAAAAAGGTTCAACATAATCAAAGGAATAGCTAGAGGAATTCTTTATCTCCACCAAGATTCAAGAATGATGATCATTCACAGAGATCTCAAAGCAAGCAACATCTTGCTGGATGCAGATATGGACCCGAAAATCTCAGACTTCGGTATTGCAAGAATCTTTGGAAGTAGCGAGCAGCAAGCAAGTACTAGACGAGTTTTTGGGACATAGTAAGTATTTTCTGGTTCTAGTTAATTAGAACTACTAAAATTATTCCCGTTCTTATAGCTATTCAAATTCTGACTATTTGCTTGTGAAATGATTCAAATAGCGGTTACATGTCGCCTGAATATACAACGCAAGGCATTTTTTCAGTCAAGTCCGACACCTATAGTTTTGGCATTTTACTACTGGAGATAGTCAGTGGACTAAAGATCAGTGCCTCTCCTCATCTACTAATGGATCATCCAAGCCTTATTGCTTATGTAAGTGTTGCTTCAAGCATGCTTTATTTCTTTTAATAATTATATTATTATAAAATAAACAAGAAATTTGTCCTCATGTTTCAGGCATGGAACTTATGGAAAGATGGAATGGCAAGGGATTTCGTAGACACAATGGTTGTGGAGAGCTGCTCACTGGACGAAGCCTTGCAATGCATCCATATTGGATTATTGTGTGTTCAAGACAGCCCAAATGACAGGCCACTGATGTCATTAGTTGTGTCCATGCTGAATAATGAGGCCATGCCACGCCCAATGCCCAGGCAGCCAATATTTTTCGCGCAGAGATATTATGAAGCCCTATCAACAAGAGGAGACTCGGAACACTCTGCTAATCATGTGAGCCTATCGACGATAGAAGGCCGATAAATATATATTTTTTGTGACTAAGTCCGATAAATATTAGGGCCTGTTTAGATCCCATGAACACTCCGCTGATAACTGTCAGGAAGAAGAAGCGCGTCTGCAGCACTGTTGCCGGTCCGGCAACAGGGGTGAGCGTGGGAACAAGCGATGGCTGAGTTAGGCGTTAAGTCTCTTGGGCTTGGTAGTTGATTAGTGGGCTGTTATGCTCTGTAGTGGGCCGGAGGCCAGCTGACTCGGTGTCGGTTGTAAACGCGCAGAATATAAGCGTGCCGTTGCGTCGGGGAGAAGGCATCGAACATTCAGACAAATTCCTACTTAATTCTGTTCTTCCTCATTCTTGCTTCTCTATCCCCAAATCCTGTTGTTCTCAACCAAACTCCGATTCCATCTCGGAACCTGACAATAACCTAGAAAGTGCTTTATGCTAATAACCAAACATGGTCTAGGGTAATCATTAGAACATGCTACTCCCATAAGCTATCAGCGCTGTCTTATTTTTGTGTTTGTTTAATTAATTATGATGTCTGCAATCTTCGTTGTTTTCTTGTGATGACAAAAGTTTTCCCCAATCCAGCCGTTGTGCTTTCAGTAGTCCAGTCCTACCTCCTCCGGTAACGTTCAGAATGTTATTTTATCTGTTTGACTGTTTCTAAGTTGCCTAGCAAGCACGCATTTTTGTACTATCGATGCATAAGTTTCCTGAAAACTGACAGAAGTTGACAGATGACCGGGCGTACTGGCTACTGCTGTATGCAGTCATATGTCATGCCAATTCCTAGAAGCTTTCCTGTTTAAAAATCCTGCTGTTGTGAGGGGTAAAAAAAGAATCAGCAGACGATCTCGTCCTTCAAACTTGGCCTCGACGGCTCGACCCATACCAATCCAGTAATCCATCCAGGAAGCCAAATATATTGTTGATATAAGTTCGATAATACTGGAAGTTGCTCTCTAAGGCTTTGTATCATCTCCATGTATTGCTTTTGAGGTTTTAATAAAAGCTTCCTGTATATGAAAAAAGTTCGGTAATACTTGACACACATTGTCGGACGCTGCTAAAAAAATCAGATGCACTTGGCCCCACGTCCACTGACCAAAGCTTAAAGCTCTCGTTCACTCCTGTTGTTCACAAGTCACAACAGCTCCTCCTTTCAGTCGCCCTCACCTTTCTCATCGTAGGCACCGCCATCATCACACCTCCTCACTGGACTGTAATGTTGCTAGATGCCACTGATGCATATGGTTCCAACTTCTCTTGCGACGGTTCGTGACCGGGTGAATGAGATGAGACAGATGACACAAGATTGGATGAACCCTTGTCTAGATATGATGAGTGATTGTTAAGGTGAATATAGAAGCTTTTAGTTGAGTGGGTTTGCGTGTGATGCTTTTGACTAACCAAATGTGAAGTGGTGGCGGATATAGCAAAGGTAAAGGTCAAACGAGGAGTTCATATATACCAATGTGTCAAATATGGTGAAGGAAGGACATGAAGGAGTTGGGGATGACGAACCAAAAAGACTGAGCATATACCATGTACCACATCTTGCACAAGGACGACAAGAGTAGATAGAGATGATGATGAATACGATGTTGACGAGGAGCATGAAGGAATTGGAGCTCGCCTAGGGTCAAGGAAAAATGGACACACATCGCAATCATGGATTTCATGATTTGGTGTTTGGGCCTCAACACCATCGACGATAGTTTTTTCAGGTTACTCCTTAATCAGGGTGCGGCAAGCTATAGACCACGTGGTATCATCATGTAGCTTGCATCTAGGTGAAGCAAAGTTGTAGGTGAAGGCAATATGTCCATTTGTTACGTACATAAAAATCTGGAAAGGAATGCCCCTTAGAGGTAATTAGTGTCCTAATGAGCTCTCGATCACTCTTGTTACTCATAACGGCTCATCCTTCTCTTACTTGCCCTCCCCCTTCTCATTACAAACGCCTTTACCCCCATGCCTCCTTCTCACTGGAATTTAGTGAGATTTGGAGGTCATTTGATTGATGTTGGGTCATTGACCTATATCTTGAGAGCTGATTAGTATAGTCAAAAAAAAAAACTCGAACTGCGGGGGGTTATGATGGCCCCCGGGTTTTCTTACTAAGAAGATCTTCTCACACAGATCGAGAAAACCCCTGAACCTCCGTCCACATCCTGACGCAGCGGTATCCTTGGCCAGTGAGAAGGCGTCTGCTGGACCTGGGCTGTGCGGCACTCAAGGCGCACACACACGGATCCACAAGCCGGACCAGACCCTGGGCCGGACCATCACTGCGCTTTGGCACATGTGACGGGCGAGGGGATTTTTTTAACCTCAGCCTGAAATTCGCTCCCACGGAGAGTTGAACTCAAGACCTGAGGAGTGCCGCCGGGAAAACTAACCGTTTGAGCTAGGCACCCTTTGGCGATTAGTATAGTCCGGACCAGGGATTATGTGGACTTAGTGGGGATTATTTCTTGGAAGCAAGCAAACTAGAATAGAGGTTCTTGGGTTGATTTTAGGATATGAGCCAACTTTCTCTTGTTTGGAGAAGAAAATTTTGAGACTCCCATGGACACCCCTTTCTAGTCAACGTTCCTATATCCTTCAGCACCATTGTCGGATCTTCTCTTGCTTACCCTGCAGCACCCTCCTTCTAATGCTTATGAAATACTTTATAATCTCTTTGTTTGTTCATTTCCGAACAAAATACATATATAAATACTTTATGATCCCTACGAGGTTTTGATTGAATTTGATTACCAATTACTTTATTTTCTTTTTCCAGTTGTATTTATAGTTTTACATTTGTATCTCACTATTGTGTATGTTTAGTATGTGTTTATTTGAAACCTTAATTTGAGTCATTGGATCTTTTTGCAACTTGTCTGTTGTAATTAATACTACTAGATTTTGGTTTTCCAATTTGATCTCGTTAGCTACTGCATTTTTTGTCTCAATAATTATACCCCTTATTGAAGAATATCTTATTATATTTCATTAAAAATGTAAGCTCCTAACCATCACTATTAGTTATTACAATCGCACAAACAGTCATTCGAGCCTGCACCATATCACTCAAGAATTATGAATATGAATGTAGCAGTGCACTTTTTTTTTGAAAAAAAACGGAGGGCTTACAATTAAACTATTAATGCAGATACGCTATAATGTCCCAATCAAAATGCATAGGATTTTCCAATGTAACAACTAGCGTAATTTGTTATCAAGGATTATTATAGGCAATTTAAAATATATTTGTAGTGTACATGTTATGCGATTCATTAAGGAAACATTTTTCATGATTGCTAAACCATGACAACACATACTCGTCGCATGTGTGTTTGTGTGTACACACACACACACACTTTATATATAGTGGCACACAACATGTGTGTTTATACTTTAACTTATTTTTCTATATTATTGATTAGTATAAGTAGAAATGGGTTCTTTAAAAGCATATATCATAAAGTATATATAGGATACTTTATGATATTTTTCTATATTATTAAATATGTTCCTAAGTTTTCTATAATACAACTAGAGAAAAATATCATAAAATATACTTTATGATATTTTTCTCTAGTTGTATTATAGGAAACTTATGAACATATTTAATATGTTATTTGATTTATTTTGAATTAATGGTAGAGGTAAAAGGTTATATTTAAATTTAGGTTATTTTAGATTATCTTTCGAAATGGCCTATATAAGTAACTTGGACATAGATTCAGGGCATTATTTTAGATTATCTTCATAATGTGATATGTGGCCAGTTAAGATGCTGATTTAGCCGGGTTACTTTGTATTGCTATCATAATAACGATGGTGGATAATTTTTAGAAACAGGACATATTCAATGGTTATCATTGCATTTGACTATTATATATAATCCACCAAACTGATGGTCATATGTATCTTATTTTTATGATAATTTCTAGATTTTTTTATTTTTTATTTATTTATGATGCGTCTCATAAGGATAAACTTAGGGACTCGTTAGGGGCCTTCAGTTAGTAATGGTATAAGATATCATCTATGCCACCACTTCACGTGTACTTTTCATATATACTATATGGCTTCTGTTAATGACACATAAGACCAGATCCCACGTGTCATTGAGTTTTTAATTTATCGTATATAGATTAAAAAAACCTCCACAAATGATGCTACGGTGAAAATGCCTCTGCGCTATTATACGTATACGTTTACTGAAGCAGGGCTTAGATGATATCCATATGGACGAACCCGCTTCAAGCTATGCGTCGCAATCAAGGACTTGGCTCTGTCCAAACCGGCAGCTAACAAACATTCTGTGCCAATTCGGGCAAGACCATGGGCAAAGACGCTGGCCAATGCAATTTCAGAACTTTGCTCGTGTCACCAGGCCAAAGCCAGACACACAACCCCAACAAGGCGAATCGGCAGAAGTTACCAAAGCGCACGGCAGCCTCGTCGCAGACTCGTTATTCTTCGTGCGCCTTCTTGTTATTATTACATCACAGGAAGAGTGGTGCTAAAGAGAGCGAGGGTGAAGGAGCCAGCAGGCAAGAAGCCAACAATGGCGGCACCTGCTCAGTGCCGGCCCCAGGGGTAGGCCCCAGGTGCGACGGCCGAGGGCCCAAGCGGAGGAGGGGCCCAAACCTAGGTACACGAACCCCCAGGTCTTATAGTCCATTAGGCATTAGCAAACTAATGAGAAAAGAGACATAGAACTGGCCAGACAGCCCAAAAGACAACATCGGTATTTCTTTCATAGTTTTCTTTCATCACGGCCCTCGGATAGAGAGAAGGCGAGGAGTCACGCTACACACAGCATACTCTGATCGTGAGTTCGCGACGTGCGCCTTACACACGTAGAGCTGCGCGAGCCACGCCGCCGCGAAGAGCTAGACTACCGGAGACACGGACACGGCACACGAGGACGGCGACCAGGCATGGTTCCACGACGATGACATCTTGATTCTTGACTTTTTACGAATTACGATCACCGATCAGTTGTTTAGGCCCAAGGTGTTTTTTTTCTTTTTCTTTTTAATCTAAATTAATTATTTGTAAAGTATTTCAGACTTCTACTATTTTGTACTCATATAGTCATATTTTTCTTCTAATTTAGGTGTTAGAATTTTAGAATGTTACCTAAAAAACATTTGTCATGGTGAAAAAAGAAAACTAATATATTGTTTTTTTAATCTATATTGTTCCTCAATAATTATCATACATCTATAAATATATTGCTTAATCAGTATTGTTCCTCGATAATTATCAGATATATTAAATTAAAAATATGTTATTGAATTTGTTTTCATTTTATAAGTAAAATTAGCGTCTATATATTATAAGATTTTATACATGGTCAAGAGGGGCTGTTGCGACGAGATCGCCAGAGAGCCCTGCACTGCGCCTGCTGTGCTCGCCTTCTTGCCGCTTCTGCTCCTCGCAGCCTTCTCACCAGCATCAACCTCAGCGCACCGCAACCGCAATCCCAGTCCTTTCCCGCCAATCGTTCCCCTTGCATCTGCAGGCTCTTCGGCAGCAGCAGCGGCGAGCGAGCAGCTCGGACGCCAAGCTCGTCACCGCGGCCGCCGCCGATGGCACCAACAGCACGGCGCAGCCGTTCACGACACACCACTTTCCACAGGAGCTGGACCACTTCACCTTCGCGCCTAACGCGTCGATAGTCTTCCGTCAGAAGTACCTCGTCAACGACACCTTCTGGCGGAGGCCCAGCGGCGGCAACGGCGGCGCCGGGCCGCTGTTCGTGTACACCGGCAACGAGGGCGACATCGAGTGGTTCGCCACCAACACCGGCTTCATGTTCGACATCGCGCCCAAGTTCGGCGCCCTCCTCGTCTTCATCGAGGTACCGTACCAGCTTGTTGTAACTATGGTTGCTTACTTAGCAACCACAACTAGTGTCGTTATCTTAGATGAATTAGCTAGCATGAACATTTTTTCTTCAAGCCTTTTGAATTGCCGGTCCAGTGTTTGAATGCTGATAACAAGATACTAACACAGTAAAAAATCTTCGGCTTCACATCTACGGAGTACCCAAGACAAATCTTTCGCTGTCGGTAACACTGACGTGCAATATTCTTTTGCTGACGTCAACATTGCTTTGTCATATACAAGGAGCTGGAAGAAGGGGGAAAAAGTCACAGAAAAACTACACTAATCCAGCATCACTCAAGCACTAGTTTCTCAGCTCGTCTGAACCGTGCGCTAGCTTGCTTTTCGAGTGATGGAGAAATTTTTAGGGGGAATTATCTGTGTGCCATTAAAAAAGATCGCAATGTCCTGTGTGCCTCTGGAAAAGTTCAGTGGTCTTCAGTGCCACTGCTCTAACTTTTTTGTGCCCTCTATGCCACTGCCGTCACTTTGGGTTATAACGCCGTTAAACTGCAGGTGTGAAAAGTCAAAAATATCCTTATGTCTAAATATGTCATTAATTTTTTTTGAGCATCTTAATGACTTCAAATGAAAAAACTCAAAACTATTCCCAAATTTCTAAAGATGGGCCGAATGCCAACGTCTCTAGAAATGCTCTCTATTTTTTAAAGGCGGCGACTTTCGAGTCGTTCCTAGAAATGGAGGAATTTCTATATGCAGCTGAGAATTTTTGGCGTCTCTAGAAAGGGATTTTTAGAGGCAGTTGGTAATTTGGTCTGCCTCTAAAAATAGGTGTATCATAGTAAAATATATATATATTTTGAATCAAATTGAATAAAGTCAAATTTTATATAAACGTTCTAGTACTTGATCTATAAATTAGCAGCTAACAACTTTTTCCATTTGAGATCATTTAAGGCCAAATTTTAAAAAATTCAAATAGCTTCGGATAGAGAAACTACCTAAACTAAAGTTGTAGTAACCGAAGGGATTAGCAACTTTGTAGTTGACCACCTTTTCATTTAAAATCGCTAGTGTTAGAAAATTCTCTTTTAATTTTTAGATTTTGAAAATTATTTTTTAAAAGTTTTAAAGTACTTCGGATGGAGAAATAACCTAAACTAAAGTTGTAGTACTCAAAGATATGGAACTTTGTAGTTTATGACTTTCATTTGAAATCATTTAATACCCAAAAAAATCTGTGTTTATATTAATGATTGTGTTAGTCATATTTTTTTTGAATTTTTCAAATGACTACGGATGGAGAAACGACCTAAATCAAAGTTGTAGTACTCAAAGACATCTTCATTTTTCCAGTTTAAAGTTTTTTTTTAATTTGATTTCATCTATGGTCTCAAATATGCATTATAATATTTACTAAAGTGAATAATGTATTAGTTAGTTGGTCAAAAAAACTTTGAGGCAACGTGCGAGGTCTAAGATCATGAGTTCGATTTTCCGCGGCCACACACATAATTATTTTGTGTGAAAAAACAGGGTCTCTAGAAATCGCTGATATAAAGAGACATATCATTATAAACCATGTACAACCTCTAGAAAAGCTATCTGTAGTAGTGAAAGGTACAATATAATACTACTTCATTTGGTAATGAAAACACATGGTTTAGGACAAGATTTGGTTAAATCTTAAATTATGAACACTAACTTTTAATTATGGAATTAGGAAACATACAAGTAATGTGTATATTTGTATGTGAAAATACTTGTAAAATCTCATAAACATGTAGGATTTATAAGGAATAAAGAAACCAAATGATAAAGACATACATTGAAGATTGCACAAGTATTTTTAACCCAAGAAAATAATCAAGCTTGATAAACATTTCTCCATGATCAGCATCGGTTCTAGGGGAAGTCATTGCCGTTTGGGAACGACTCCTACAACTCAGCGGAGACACTGGGTTACTTGACGTCAACGCAGGCGCTCGCCGACTTTGCCATCCTCATCACCAGTCTTAAGCGAAACCTCTCAGCAGAGACCGCCCCTGTAGTCGTCTTCGGTGGCCCCTATGGCGGCAGTAAGTCATGCCTAAACATCTACGCCTCTTATAAGCACCAGGCATGCACATGATGAATGAGCTTACCAACTTATTCTGAAAAGATCAATGATCCTAGTTTAGTTATATGTGGATGGCCGTGCAGTGAACTAAGTATGTCCATATTGTGAGCTAATTAAACTCACACTTTTTTTTTGTGTTGCGCCTGATCGGCTGATCCAATGCTTGTTTGCAGTGCTGGCTTCTTGGTTCAGGCTCAAGTACCCCCATGTCGCCATTGGGGCCCTGGCATCCACTGCACCAATCCTTCAGTTCGACTACATAACACCATGGAGCAGCTTCAGTGATGCCATCTCACAAGACTACAATGTACTGTTTTTGTTTCAAAATGTATGTCTTCATCGTGCATTAATTTGGTACCGTTGATATTCATATATTTATATGATCAAAGTTAGATAAGTTTGACTTAGGATAAAACCAAAGCAACTTTCGTTTTAGAATGGAGTACTAATGATTGATAAATGATAACATCATTACTATACTCTAGACAAATGTATTGTGGTGTCATATCTGGCATTCCATTCGTGAATAATGTAGAAATGCAAACCAAATGGTTCATCTTTGTTTGATGGATAATGGTAAGGTTAGTCTTTGTCTCAAGCTAAATAATGCCATCTTCTTTAGATATCAACTGATTTTGACCTCAGAATTAATTTCGCAGTCTGAGAGCATGAACTGGCAACTGATTGTGATTTCCAATTAATTTTGCAGTCTGAGAGCATGAACTGACAACTGATTGTGATTTCCAATTAATTTTGCAGTCTGAGAGCTTGAACTGTTTCAGTGTGATCAAGGCAACCTGGGATGTGCTCGATGAGAGGGGATCCAATGGCAGAGGGCTCCTGGAGCTCAGTAAACTGTTCAGAGCCTGCAAGTAAGTTCATCTGAACCTCAAAATAGTCATGAACAATCTAGAGAAGATGGGGGGGGGGGGTGGCGGTTCATAATATTGTGGAAGTTTCGAATCACATTACACTGAAAGAAAAAAGGAATTAGTACCAATCAAATCATATAATTAGCAGCAAATAACCTAAACACATTAAATTCAGATTGAAACCTTAGTGCTAAATTGGGATAAATGAAAACCAACTTTATATTTAATCCTACATCCAATTCCTGCCCTGTTGACAGTGTAGTTACTAGCCCGTATGGAACCACGGGTTGATGGGCCCGTGTATCTTTCAGTCTGCTATACTAGATAACATTGTTTTTCCACTCAATTTCAGGACCGTGAAGTACGCTGATTCAATTGCAGGCTGGCTACAGACAGCATTCGTCTACACTGCCATGGTGGACTATCCAACACCGGCCAATTTCCTGAAGAATTTGCCTGCCTACCCCGTCAAGGAGGTTCTCCATTTTACCCATACTCTGCCAACACTTCTCTCATTTCAACAAATTTTCCAAACCGAACCCTCCATCTGCACATCGACGGGTTCCCCGCAAATGCGGACATCCTGGAAAAGGTGTTCGCAGCGGCGAGCTTGTATTATAACTTCACAGGAGACCAGACTTGGCCCCGTTCGCTTCGCTGAAAAAACAAGCCGAAACACTGTTCCGGCTGCTTTGTTGTGAAAGAAAAACACTGTTCCGGCTGGAAAAACAAGCTGAAAAGTACGGATTATAAGAGAAGCGAACAGGGATGACGACAGCTCCAGTTCTCTTGGCCTCAGTGGCTGGGGGTGGCAGGTATATGCAATATATAAAACTGAAAGATAACAAGTACTGTAGAATGTTAGTGACAACACTGAGAACCAGAGATTGTGACATACTCCTGTGTATGTGTATGTAGGCTTGCACAGAGATGATCATGCCGATGTCGGACTCAAACGAGAGCATGTTCCCACCATCCACCTTCAGTTACGAGGAAAGGTCCAATACCTGTTTCCAGTTCTCCGGGGTTCGGCCCAGGCCGCATTGGATCACCACTGAATATGGTGGATATGTAAGCGTCGTTTTCAGAGTTTCAGTGTACATATATATAAGCCCTCAGTGGAAGCTATTGCTGGTATATATATTTAAATTGTTCATCTGGTGCTGCGTTGCACAACTTCGTTCTTGCAGAAAATCGATAAGGTGCTGAAGAGGTTTGGGAGCAACATCATCTTCTCCAACGGAATGTGAGACCCATGGAGTCGAGGCGGGTAGGTCCATCTGTCCGTCTCATTATCTGATTATTCATCAGCATGGTTTCAGTCTGTCAGATAACATATGTGCTGGAGTACACCGCAATGGTTCACTATTCTATTGCAATCAGGGTGCTCAAGAACATCTCATCCAGCATCGTCGCGCTTGTCACAGAGAAAGGTGAGCATGAAAACTTCAGGAAGAAAATGTAAAGATCTTAGTGGCATATTTCGCTGTTCACTTATGTACAGTTACTTGTCATCACGGTGGTCAGGTGCTCACCATTTGGACCTTAGATCTGCAACCAAAGATGATCCAGACTGGGTTAAAGAACAAAGGAGACAAGAAGTTGAGATCATACAGGGATGGATAGATCAGTATCATCAAGACATGGCGCAAGTATCCTGAAGGTGGTATTGCTGTTACGGTCAAGTAAAGTTAACATCTGGTCTGTGAAAAAAATAAAAAGGAAAATTTCCTTATAACGCACAGGACGATCACAGGGACAGTGGCAAAGTAAGATGACAAAAGGTGAAAAGTCAATTCAGTTATTTCACTTATCAACAGAAATTGTAAAACTTAAACACTCTTGGACGAATCATGAATGAAAGGTTGCTTAATGCTTAATTTCTGTTTCTAAAACTGTACAAGCTAAGGGCATGTTTGAATTTCTTCATCTAATCTTTAGAGCTAAACTCCAAACAGGTGGTCTAAAGTTGGCTCTAAACTTTAGACCACCTCACCTTAGAGTTTTAGAGCTCAAAAGTGAGTTAAAGTGCTCTAAAGCTTTTTTGAGCTCTAAAGTTTAGAGAAGAATGTCCAAACAGACCCTAAGTATTTATTCTGATTGCAATACTGAAAAATAACATAATTGCTATACGATGCTTGGTAAATTTTTTTTGCTTCCTTGGCCTCAATTTATTTTTTGCTTTTCTTTCTTCTTCCTGAGTATATATGTAGCATATATGAAAAAGGGGAAACAAAAGTCAGGTGTTTCTAAAGCCTTGAACACCCAAATTCATTTCACAAATTCGTTATAGTTAATTCATATTGGTTACAGTTAAGTTATGTACACTAGAGTTGTATTGATTCTTTTAGAGTAATTCCTAAGTTTATGTGTTGACTCCACTAAAATACCCTAATTTTTTTTGCAACACTTCAATTTGGGTGTTAAACATATTAAAAAAACTGATTCTTTATTTCACGCATGCTCACAAATTCGGTTGCTGGATAGACTAGGAGACATTGGATATGGATCCTTCAGGGGTTCAAAATTCGGTTGTGAAGACGGGAAAGCTGAAGCCAAAAGTGAAACAGATTGAGAAGAACATTTCAAATAGTTATATATCATACCACTATCCATCACATACACAAAAACTGCTTTTGCCTGACATAACTTTGTTTGTTGGGATCCCAACTATTTAAAAGGGACCCATAAGAGGGCTATGTGATTTTCCGCTATTGTAATTGTTTTTGCATGAACGTATAAGAAATAAATCTTGGTCAGATGAATGATTAGAGGCTATGGATGCGTAAAACTCATCAAATGCATTCCATTTAAGTACCCATACTCACCATTTGGAATTTTGATCGCAGAGATATGTTAGTCACTAGTTTGAACAGGGAAAAAAAGAAAGGTCGCTAAGGTGTGTTTGGTTTAATACCTGGCAGGCAAGTCAGCCGCCAAACAACAATCCTAGCCACCAGGCAATGCCCTGGGAAAGCTGCCTAGCAGGCACCTCTGCTTGGCTTTTGAAATAAATACACCCTAAATAAGTACGTCAGTCCATGGTTAAGTACGTCAGTCCATGGGTGACTCCTTGTCGAGTATTCGTTTTCTATTTTTTCTCTTTTTCGTGTCCCTCCGTCCCATGATCTAGTTGCACCCCCTCAACCGCAACCTCTATGTTCCACGCAAAGAAGAAGCACAAAGGGAGAAGAAGAAAGAGGAATTAGGACATGCTATTTTGCTTGCCGTGCTCGTTACTCTTAAAAAACTGGTCAAGCATCATCTAACCATGCCACGCTTAGTGTTAATTGAAATGGCGATAGGTTTGTAGTAGCTAAGATTGCCATGAGTTGGAGAAGAGAATAAGAGAAAGGAAGAAAGAAGAGAATTGCTAGGGGTTTGTTCTATTTTTGTGGTTGCCCTAGATGAGATGCCAAATCTTAATCTACCTTTTTGATCAGTTTTTTTGGATTGAACTATTTGATTAGAAGGGATTTAGTAATTACAAAATTAATCTCATCCATTTTCTAAAAATTATCAGATTATACAGTCTCCGGTCATCTTAATGCCTGTAATAAATTATGTTCTTGTGGACAAAGTTGTAGACGACTTCAATACCTTCCATTTGATACCAAGATCACCATTACAACTGCTGCAATTTAAGAGATACAATCATTACAAGATGATTGTTTTTCTGGGACGAGAATCTAGATAGTTTCAAATCAAATATGTTTTTGGCAATCTTCATGGAATAGTTTCAGCTTTCTAACTTAACTGAAGTTGTATTATTTTTCATACCTTTCATATTGAATCAGTATGTCTCCAGCTATAGATTGGATGAGTGGTTGGAAGTCTAAAAAAGAGGAGAGACAATGTTGACGTTATGAACGGTAGTGCATTGGTAATGGCTTACTTGTTGAGTTTGGGTGTTTTAGTGTGTTACTTGTATGATGGTGTTCATACTAAAGTGTGCTTGTAATCAGGTGGTTTGTCTTTAGAGCATGCCTAACTCTCTCTATATAGCTTGATCATCGATCAAGGCAAGTGCACGTGGCACTATGGCCCACATGTTTTAACTTTGTTATTTGAATTGTCTTCACTAAGC